TCCTAGAAATGAATACCTAAACACATACTGCATATACTTGTATAAAAGTTTATCTCATGTATAAATCGAGGGCAAAATTATGGATTTTGATATGAGCTGTGGATAAGGAAAACATCAATGCTGCCTTTGTTAGGGGGAAGGGGTGCAGCCATCCCTGGCTTCTACCACTGCCATTTCCCCATCCACACATTCAAAAAGGACAAAAGTGGTGCCATAGCAGAGAAAGTAGATGTGGTCAGTGCTTTTTTAAAGTTTTTCCAGAGATGGATTAAACTCTTGCCTTTCACCACTTTACTGAGAGAAGGGGCACGTTTCTCTTTTTTGGTGAGAATTAAGATACAGTACTTACATTGACTTGTGAACAAGTCAACCCAGGTATTCAGAGCCAATTTTTGATTGAAATGTAAAGCTGTATACATAAGTGTATACCGTACTTAGACTGCACTAGGTGAAGGAAGGCTCCTCTAAAGAACAAGAATCATCATGCTAGGTCAAACCAATGATTTACCTTCAGCAAGAGTGCACAGGAAAACGCAGTCTAAGTTTCTGAATCAATATATTTCCATTAGCTCAGCAATGTCTCCCTAACAAAGACTTGGCCATTGGCACAGGGAAATTCACAAACCTGACATGTATCATTTAGCAGTTTCTGAACTCAAGTTCTTTTTATGCCTTGTGGTCATCATTTGTCTTAGGAGCCCCTGGTGGTGCAATGGGTTAAATGCCGGCAGGACTGAAGATCGACATGTCGAGAATGAATGAGCTCCCCCTGTCAACTCTGGCTCCCCATGTGAGGACATGAGAGAAGCTTCCCACAAGGATGGTAAAACATCAAAACATCCAGGTGTCCCCTGGACAATGTCCTTGCAGACAGCCAATTATCTCACACGAGAAGCGACTTGCAGTTTTTTAAGTCGCTCCTGACAAAATCATTTGTCTTGAAAGTGTTGTTGTTTCAGTGCCTCTCAAGACACCCCTATCCCAAAAAGTTACAGTGAAGCTAAAGGACTGCTGTGAGCTCCCAAAATGAGGATGGAGATTTAAAATCAAAAGGACCAATGGTTGCTGAAGAAACAAGAGGCCTGATCCTTGATTTAGTACAGTGGTATCCAGAGACTGTTCTTCCCCCTGGGCTTGTCCACTGAGGATCCTAAATATCCATGAGGATCTCTGCTACATCCTAATTCACTAGGGTCCAACGGCCCACACTAACAAAGCATGACCTCCACCATCCCATACACACAGCCTAAATGTGTGCATCACCAGCAGTCAGTTTCAATAGTAAGCAGAAAGACTTTGTAGACCTCACAACCTCTGAGGATGCCTGCCATAGATGTGGGTGAAATGTCAGGAGATAATGCTTCTGGAACATGGCCATACAGCCCGAAAAACCTACAACAACCCAGTGATTCTGGCTATGAAAGCCTTTGACAAGACTTTCCAGAACACTGATCTACCATTAACAATCTTCTAATTAAAATGTCAATTCCTGGAAATCCAGTTAGACAAACGGAGAGTGGTGGGTGATGACTGCTTTATTCGTGAGCACAGCAATGGGTCATTGACAAAGCAAGGGCAAAGTAACCACGGATTCCCATAAAGCTAGATGCCTCTAAAGCTGAGACTATATAAGGAGAAAGAATTAATCAAACTCCCGTACTCTACCTAGCACATCTCAGACAAAGGAAAAATTAATTCCTTTGATAACAAACTGGAGAGAGGACAAGGAGAGGATGCTTGTTTAAGACAAGGTACTGCAGCAGAAAAAGGAAAAGGAAAGGTAGGCAGCAGCGAACTAAAGAGCATTTCTGGACAGAATAAATAAACGTTGTTTCCATCTGCTGCAGAGACTGCAGCTTGGCAGGCTTTGAACTCAGTCAGTGCTGCAAAAAATGCAGGAACTGCAAAGCCCAGCTGGGTCGGTGAGGGGGAGGGGAGATGGAGGTGGGAATTCCTCCACCTCTGATATTCCCTCCGCAATTCCTTGTCAATCAAAGCAATGCACCAGGGTGGATGGAGGGAGGCAGGGAAGGCGCAAGTGAGCATGCCCAGTGATCCAGATGACATCAGCTTGATCAATGCTGGGGATTGGAAGGCTGCTGCAGCAGGAATCAGGGCAGGCAGCTGGAAGAGTCAATTGGGGTTGACTCCATTCAGTTCCCCACCACTGCCTTTCTCTGTTGCGGTGAGGAGAACAGGCACCTGGCCAAGGGGAACCTGAGAGGACGGGCTTCTCTCGCTGCAGGAGTTCTTCAATGGAGGGCGAAGATCACTGTGTGATGCCCACTCTGCAACCGTATAGGCACAGGGGCTTATCGTGCATCCAATGGGATTTCCTCCCAGGTAAAGTGCATAATAAAGCACTGTAGCAATTCACCCATAGGAGTGAAGGCCGATAAAATGACATTCCTGAGGACCCAGCTTTTCAACAAAATGAATGCCAGAAACTCTTGTGTCTCATAAAAGTATGACAAATCCCTGCATTTGGTGGCCCTCCGGGTCCCAGTTTACAAGCCCCACTCATGTTTACATTCTTAGTATTTATTTAGAAATTCTTGCCTTCTTAACCCCAGAATTTACCCATTGTATATTTACCCTTAAGGATAAGACTCCAGGTATCTCTTGCCATGCATTACGTCCCCATCCCATCCCAAATACTTATCCCATGGTGAATGTTTGTCTTGAAAATGAACCACCTGACACTTTATTTTATTTGTATGTCCAACCTAGGCCCACACCTCCACTGAAAAACTATTTTTCACGCAAATGCTATGTATTTTAATATATGTATTTTATATGTTTTATAGGCATATGAATGTTATGGTGTGTATTTTATGTGATGTAACAGTGTTGTAAACTGCCTCAAGCCGTGAGGAGAGGTGGATAACAAATAAATATATTGTTGTTGTTATCATTAACAACTTTTCTTTCATGTCAGGAATAACTTGAGAAACTGCAAGTCGCTTCTGGTGTGAGAGAATTGGCTGTCTGCAAGGATGTTGCCCAGGGGACGCCCGGATGTTTTACCATCCTGTGGGAGGCTTCTCTCATGTCCCCACATAAGAAGCTGGAGCTGACAGACAGGAGCTCACCCAGCTCCCCAGATTCGAACTGCCAACCTTTTAGTTAACAGTCCTGCCGGCACAAGGGTTTTAACCCAGTGCGCCACCGGGGGCTCAATGATCGTCAATGTTTTGTTGAAGGCTTTCATGACTGGAATCACAGGGCTGCAGTGAGTTTTTTGGGCTGTATGGCCATGCTCCAGTAGCAATTGCACAATTACAGCATCATCACTGTAATTGTGTAAGCTCACATTCATATTCCCCACACCCAATAATGCCACAACTCTTCTTTCCACCTTTGTCATCTTATTCCCACCAACAGCATCATATCACATCACAGTATGAAGTCTTAACCCCAACTCTGAGTACTAAGGAAGGCGGGGGGGGGGGGGGGGGGGGAGTAATAAAGAACACCTACAACCTTTGTTTTTCCATACCAGGGGTAAGAGATGATGTTGATCTTTATTTATATAGCACCATCCAGTGTGGCTGATGTTTTACAGAACCAAAACCATGGGCCTCATCCCTACACCTATTTACTTGGGGGAGAGTCCCATTGAATGTCATTACCATAATCAAACTAAGCCAATAATGTGTTGACAAAGGCTTTCATGGCCAGAATTACTGGGTTTCTGTGAGTTTTCCAGGCTGTATGGCAATGTTCCAGAAGCATTCTCTTCTGACATTTCACCCACATCTATGGCAGGCATCCTCAGAGGTTGTGAGGTCTTTTGGAAACTAGACAAGGGAAGTTTATATATCTGTGGAAGGTCCAGGGTGGAAGAAAGAACTCATTTGTTGGAGGTAGGTGTGAATGTTTCAACTGGCCACCTTGATTAGCATTTAATAGCTTTGCAGTTTCAAAGCCTGGCTGCTTCCTGCCTGGGGGAATCCTTTGTTGGGAGGTGTTGGGAGAATTCCTGTCTGGAATTCTCCCATTTTCAGAGTGTTGTTCTTTCTTTACTGTCCTAACTTTAGAGTTTTTTAAAATACTGGTAGCCAGATTTTGTTCCTTTTCATGGTTTCCTCCTTTCTGCTGAAATTATCCACATGCTTGTGGTTTCAGTGGCTTCTCTGTGTAGCCTGACATGGTGGTTGTGAGAGTGGTCCAGCCAATAATGTAGCAATGTAGCAAGAGATTTCCTTTGGATATAGGTTTCGCCAAGGCTCTCCAAGACACCACCCCTTCATCTGGCAGGTTCCTACTGCTGCCAAGGACATACCCATTCCCCTCTCCAATATTTGCATCTACAGAGGGAAGGCAAGCCTGTGCAACGCCGCTGCCTAACAAACCAACCTGATAAAGTGGAAACACTGAATATATATTTAAAAACACCCAATACAACACCAAGTGAAGAGATTGATGTGTTGTCGAAGGCCAGAATCAATGGGTTGCGGTGAGTCTTCTGGGCTGTATGTCCATATTCCAGAAGCATTCTCTCCTGACATTTTGCCAACAGACTCCTCAACCTCAGAGGATGCCTGCCATAGATGTGGGCGAAACGTCAGGAGAGAATGCTTCTGGAACATGGCCAGAAAGCCTGGAAACATTCACAGCAACCTAAAAAGATTGATACCTATGATCAAAATATCCCAGACTAGAAAACAACATCATGCTAAGATTCCAAATCCGAAATGTCAGAGGAAAACAGGATGCCGACTTTGGCCGCACATCTTCATGGAGGCCCCTTCCGTTGCCTTCCTCCTCGGCTTGGAGGTGAAAGGCTCCCCCAAAAGGCGACCCACCCACCCACTTACTCAGCCTCCCCCTTCCCCAATTCCCTTCTAAGGAAGGCCAGGGATGGGAACAATGGGCGGAGGGAGGGAGGGAAGAAGGAAAGGCGCACAATGCAGAGCCGCCCAAAGGGACACCCAAAAAAAAGGGTGAAGGAAGCGAGGGAGAGGGAGAGGGGGGATCGGGGGGGGGGAGGGTCTTACCCCGACCACGACGGTGTCCTCGCCTTTGAATTTGGAGACGAATTTGTCCCCGCGGAGGATCTCGGCCTCGTTGAGGGGACGGAACCGGCACATGACTTTGATGCTGCACTCGGCCGGGTCCGCCATGGCAGCAGAAGCAGGAGGAAGAAGAGGAGGAGGAGGAAGAGGAAGAGAGAGAAGGAAGGGGGAAGAGAGGGAGGGGGTAAGGGGGAGGAGAAGGAGAAAGAGAAGAAGGAAGAGAGGGGAAGGAGGATGGGAGGAGGTAAGGATGAGGAGGAAGAAAGAGGAGGAAAGGAGGAGGAAGAATGGGGGTGGAGGTGAAAGAGAAGGACGAGGAAGAGAAGGAGAAGAAAGAGGAGGAAGAATGGGCTGGAGGTGAAAGAGAAGAAGGACGAGGAAGAGAAGGACGAAAGGGGGGAAAGAAGAGGAGGAAAGGAGGAGGAAGGGAAAGAGAGGAGAAGGAGGGAGGAGAAGGAAGAGGAAAGGAGACTAGGGGGTGGAGGAGAAAGGGAAGGAGGAAGAGGAGGAGGGGAAGAAGAAGAAGGGAAAAGGGGGGAGGAGAGAAGGAGAACGAGGAGGAAGGAGAAAGAAAGGAAGAAGGAAAGGAAGGAGGGGAAGACTAGGGAGTGGAGGAGAAAGGGAAGGAGGAAGACGGAGAAAGGAGGAGGAAGACTAGGGGGTGGAGGAAGAGGAGGAGGATGCTCCCCCTGGCTTCCCTCCCCTTTGAGGCTGCGGTGCCCAGCCCGCTCTTCTTTGGGGCGTCCGAAGGTCCCTGCCCCTCTTCCTTGCTTTTCTCCTTTCCTTCTTCCTTCTCCTCCTCTTCCTCAGCCCTTGGCAGGCTCTCCTGCCTCGGCCACCATCCTGCCTCCCCGCCGGCGGAGCACCTCCTCTCTCTCTCTCTCTCTCTCTCTCTCTCTCTCTCTCTCTCTCTCTCTCTCAGCCTCCCAGCCGCTCTTTCTCCCGCTCCGCCTCCATCCAGGGCTTTGTGACTTCACCGCATTACATCAACCCTCCTCCTCCTCCTCCTCCCTACAAAGCGGGCTCATCCCTGAGAGTTGTGCTTCTGCCCGCCACCAGCAGGGGGGGATAGAGAGCAGCGGAGAAGCTCAGTGCGGGTCTGCCATTCCTGGCCAAGGAGGGGACCTGGTGCAGTTTGACACTTCTTTTGACTCCTCGATTGTGGTGAAGACCCAATCCTCTTTGGCAGAGGAAGCTAGAGACCTTGTAAAACCACAGCTCCCAGCATAGAGCCAGAGCAGTGGGATCAAATGGTCTTAGCTCTCCACTGCTTGATCATTTAATACATAGGGATACATTTCATACTATGATATCTTGCAGCAGGAGGGTAGAATAGACATGGGCAAACTTTGGCCCTCCAGGTGTTTTGGACTGCAACTTCCACAATTCCTAACAGCCGTGGGGTTTACACTTTGGAGGCAAAGAGCACTGCTTGGAAATTCCTGCCAAACCGTTACAATGGTGTCACAAAGATACGAAAATTGTGTTTCATTTGGTTTTACTGTCTGTCACAATTACTAACATCCATGGGATTTCTGCTTTAGAGGCAAAGATCACTGGTTCCTGCCAAACAGTCCACACTGCCATATATTCCAGTTGAAAGCAGAAAATGTGGGATATTATTCAGCTGTGTGGAAGGGGTCTCTGACCCCATCTACACTGCCATATAATCTATGTTCTGAATGCACAATATCTGCTTTAAACTGGATTAAATGGCAGTGTAGATTCATAATCGAGTTTAAAGCAAATAATCTGCATTCAGAAACTGGATTTTATCATCAGTATAGATGGGGCCTATGGCTCCTTCTACACTTCAGAATTAATTTAAGCTTGACACCACTTTAATTGCCATGCCTCAATGCTATGGAATCATAGGAGTTTGAGTTTGGTGAGACACCATCAGAGAAAACTAAAGCCCTTGCCAAACTACAATTTCCAAGATCTCATAGCACTGAGTTAAAGTTAAATTAACTTCATTAATTTTAAAATGTAGACACACCTTTAGATTACCATAAGATGCCTTGGATCCTCCAAATTTTGTTGGACTCCTCTAACTCCCAATATGCCCAGTTTGCTTTGCTAGCTAGGCCTGCTGTGAGTTGCAGTGTAATAACATCTGGAACATATCCCGATTCCCACTTTGGTGGTAATAAGACATTAGGGACTACTCAAAACATGCCTAGTGTAATCAATAATGCTTTGGCTCCAGCTGTATGCTACACATTCAGGTTGCTAAAATGGAAAGCAAAGTCTATTACTCATAAGAATCACCTGATAATATATAATGGAAAATATTTTTAAAAACACATTTGAATCCCTACTCTTTGTTCCGATGTTCTGTAACGTCTATGGTCTCTTTCAATTTTGGCGAATTATAATACTTGGGCACCACTTTAACTGCCATGGCTCCATCCCATGGAATATCGGGATTTACAGTTTGGGAAGACACTACAGCTTCATATTTGAGAATTCTTCATGCATCACAAAACTAAAAGTCAGTGGAATCATGGGCAATTAAAACTGGCGTCAAAGTGATATAATTATCCAGTGCAAAAGAGATGAACACCCAATGTTGCTTGTAAAAAGTTCATGGAAAATATTTCCAGGGAAATACTGACCATGATGATCTTTCAGCCTGCCATTGCAGTGTCACCTGCTGTAGCCAAAGCCTGTAACATTTCTGAGATAGTTCTGGGTTTTATATTGTAAGTCCATCTCTTTTGTACTCATTGTCCTTTGCTTCATATACATGAGCTAGCATATGCTTTGACAGTTTCCATTCCTCAAGAGAACATTTTAAATGTGTGAATAATCAAATCTTCAAAGGTCAAAACCACAAATTTATTTATCATAGCAGGAGCGAACCAAGGGCACAGCCGCCATGCATTTAAAAAACAGAGTTTAATAAAACTTGGCACCGTATCAAAAGTCCCTTGACCAGTAGCTGACCACCTGGAGTTGCCACTGTCATGCAACAGATGTTCTGTGGTCTGCTCCTCTCCACACTCGCATGTCATGGACTCCACTTTGAGGCCCCATTTCTTAAGATTGGCTCTGCACCTCGTGGTTCCTGAGCGCATTCTGTTCAGCTCCTTCCAAGTCACTCCGTCTTCTGTGTATCCAGGAGGGAGTCTCCCATTTGGTATCAGCCATGGATTGAGGTTCTGGGTTTTAGCCTGCCACTTTTGGACTCTCACTTGCTGAGGTGTTCCTGTGAGTATCTCTGTAGCTCTTAGAAAACTATTTCTTGATTTAAGCCTTTGGCCAGTATTGCACCACCTGACATCCTCCGGGAAGTAGCAGCCAATAATGAAAGGACCAAGGCAGAGACATCTCCAGCCCATCCCTTGTTTGGGTATCAGCCAGTATGCCAATGCCTTAAAACCACAAATGTGGACAACTGCATACTTTGTACAGGATGCCCCTTGAGATAAAGCTGTGCCAGTAAATTCCAGGTGAGGAGGCTTGCTACTCTATTGTTGGAAGAAAGGCATTCTGTGCTTCGCCCGAGCAGGAGGGGGAATCAGGCAATGCTATAAGAATGCTCTCTGCCAGCAAATTAATCACGAAGATTACCTAAAATCTATTACATTTTCAGATGCCTTTCATTGCTTCCAGAATGAGGAAGGCATATTCTCTGTCCTAGTCTTGTCCTAAAGAATTTATTATTCATATGTATGGAAAAATTAAACTGGAGAGTAATATGCATTCTTTACATCAAGCTCTCCATGAACATGAACATTTGGGGAAAGGTCCTTCAGTTCAGATCTGGTTCAACTAAAGGATATCGCTCCCAAGAATGAAGTAGCTGTGTACATATTATTAACCTTCTAATATGCAAGCATCATAGAAGTCAAGAATAGATAGATGATGGTGCAGAATCACTGAGAATGAGTTAGTGATTTCTTAGAACTTATGTACTTTATAGATAGGCCTGCAAAATCTGTAGCCTTCCAGATGGTGGTGGTCTATAACGCCCATTCTGACAATGGCGTGAGGTTAATATTGTAGATCAGCATCAACATCCATATGTCCATATGGAGGACATGAGAGAAGCCTCCCTGCAGGATTGTAACACATCCGGTTGTCTCCTGGGCAATGTCTCCGTAGACAGTTGACATCAGAAGTGACTTGCAGTATGCAACCAGCCAAACAAACATCCATATGCCCCTCATTTCTGCTATATACAAAGACATCATATGGCGCAGTAAAGCAAACATGATATAGTCTTACACAAAAAGCCTTCCAGGTAGGCAATTTGTTACCTGTCAAGTGGTCTTATTTTACAAATCTTAATGCTATTAGTCCAAAATACATTTTTGTCCAAAAACCTTGTCTCAATAATACAGAACATAAATATTGTTAATACATAGCTAGGAAGCAGTCCTGAGTATCCATGGATTCTACATCCAAGGATCCAAGTACCTATTTTTATTTATTTATTTTACAGTATTTATATTCCGCCCTTCTCACCCTGCAGGGGACTCAGGGTGTACATATATATGGCAAACATTCAATGCCATAGACACACAACATATATAGACAGACACACAGAGGCTATTTAACATTCCAGCTTTCTTGAGGATATTCTGGCCACCAGGGGATCTTTCGCTTCATCGTCCATTAGTGACAATGATGGGAGTACTTCCTCATTCTTTTTGCATGGTTGCTGGAGATTTTTATGGCGTTGTAAATTAGTTAAATTAGCCTGCCCACATAACCATACCTAAATTTCCTACTTGACAGATGGAACTGTCTTTCGGGCTGCAAAGGTTGACAACAAGCTTCACAATGTTTGGAAGCTCACTCCAACCCCGGCTGGCTTTGAACTCATGACCTTTTGGTCAGTAGTGATGTTAATGCAGCTGACTCCCAGCCAGCTGTGCCACAGTCCCAGTACCTAGGTCTTGAATTAATATACAAACACACACCTATGTTCATGTGTGTGCATGTGTATAATAGCAAACATTAACTTTGCCATTGTATTTAAGGAGCACCATTTTACTATACCATTGGATTTGAGCATCGATTGATTTTGGTTTCCATGGAGAGCTTTGGAACCAAACCCCAGCAGATACCAAGGGTCCACGATGTATGCACATTAATCTAATTGATTTCGGCAAGCAAGACAGCATATGGGGCAAACAACATTTTGCTCTGGGTGTGCTTTCCTTTAAAAAATTCTAACCATTGAAGAATTACTAGCCACTGAAGACACTGATTGGGCAGAATTCCTTTTAATGAATTTCTCATTAAATTCAATTATGAGATCCTAGAACTGGTTCCTATAGGCTTCATTGTCCATCTGCTAATTCACAGAATATTTGATAGCATCTCTGATGGACTCTACCCTATGAATCTTGACCATACTCAGATCATATTGTTTCTTCTCTTAACCCCAGAAACCCTTTGTTGGCTCTGAGTGAACCTAGATAGCTGCTTTAGGCTGAGTGCATTAGCATATCTAGCCCAATATTTTCCATACTGCCTAACAGTAGTTCTCCGGTGTTTCGAGCCAGAGTTTTTCCCCATGTCATGTCAAGATGTACAATATGAACGATG